CGTTGTATAGTAACACCTCGAAACTAGAGAAAACATTCATAGTTAGCTGGTCCTTTTCAAAAACTTTCGCCTTTCTTCACTTTTCGTGAACAACCTCTTCTCTTATTTGCTCAAGTGTGACTGGAGAGTTCCCTTACTGTATTACAAAGTTTTAGTTCTCCTTCAGATTGAAGGGATGCGAACACTGTATCTTCCAGTGGTTTTTGTACTTGGGAATTAGTCTTGACAATCCGTCCGCATGGCCGAATCATTTTGATGACACTTACATCATTTCAAAGTTGTAATTTAGCGGGATTGTACTCCATCTCTGCAGTCTGTTTTCTGTGTGAGTAGCTAGATCTTTATTTAAGCCAAAAAATGTGAGTAATTGCTTATAGTCTGTCTGTAGGTAGAAATGTCGACCGTAAATATGGCGGTGGAAATTCGCGACTGCGGATATAATCCCAAGCGTCTCTTTTTCATTCTGTGAATATTTTTCTTTCCGCAGGAAGCAAAGCTCTCGACGTGTGAGCTATCGGTCTAACTGTTCCATCAGTCACTTTGTGAAAAATGCATGCCCCTACGCCATACGAGCTAGCGTCGCTGGCAACAATAATTTCCAAGCCCGGGTCGTAATGTGTAAGAAATAAGTCTAACGTCAGTGTTTTCTTCATTTTTTCAAATGCCTCCTGGCATTCTGCTGTCCAAACACATGACTTGTCTTTCTTTAATAGATCATTAAGTGGGGTGCACACAAAACATGGATATTTGGTATGAATGCCTGGTAATAATTTGTTAGTCCAAGCAAGCTCTGCAACGAAACGATGTTATTGGGCGCCGGCATGTCTTTAATGGTGGCAGCCCATTCAGGATTTGGTCTCCTGCCATCCTTGTCGATTATGTGTCCTAGGTATTTGATTTTCATGAAAAAAATCACATTTGTCTCTTTAAGTTTGAAACCCTAATCTTGAATCTTAGCAAAACTTTGTAGACGTGATCCTTATGTTCGACTACGCTTTGGATTTTCATCAGAAAGTCATCTAAATAAACGACTGAGAAGTCAAGGCCGCTCAGCACAGTATCCATGACTTGCTAGAAAATTGCTGGCGCGACCTTGACCCCGAACGGTAAACGTTCGAATTTATATAATTCACGATGCGTATTTATACACAATAGCTTCGAACTCACCTCTTCAACCGCAATTTGCAAATAAGCGTCGCTAAGGTCAATCTTCGAGAAAAATTGACCCCCATTTAGCTTCGCAAAAATGTCTTCTGGGCAAGGAAGAGGGTAATGATAGTCCTTCAGAACAGCATTTAAATCTTATCGAAAAAAATCAGTGTAAACGTGTATGTCTTTCGATTTCTTTTTTACATAGAGCGGCCTATTCGCTGTACTCTACCTTTGATAGAACTCCAGTTTTTACTAATCTGTCAAGTTCCTTGCTAATTTTTTCCAACGAGGCAAAAGACACATTTCACTTCTTTTTGAACACTGGCTGGACGTCGTCTTGTAGTTCAATTTTTGCCATCATCTTGGTACACCTGCCTAACCCACTAGAAAAAATTCCTGGATAAGTTTCCTGCAGTTCTTTTTTCAGGTTTTCAGCTTCGACATTCCAATTTTCAATTTTTTTGGCAGTATAAATTTACAGGTAAGTCCCAAAACTGGAATTGGGTCATCCAATCAGTACCAAATAGGTTGTTAGTATTTTTCAGGACGAACAATTTTAATTTAAGAGTCTTCCCGTTGAACATTGTATTAACAATCAATTCTCTCACGAATTTAATTTTTCCCGTTACTGATCTTGCAATCTTTTATTACCCAATCTTTTCCATGTTTGCAAGTTTATTATTGTCAAACCAGAGTCTAGTTGAAATTCCACACTTTTTTTTAACTTTTTACGTGCACAAATTTCCTGGTATTAGCTCCATCTAGTTCGTCCGATCTTGTATTTTTTAAGCTGTTGGTTTTATTTTTAGAACGGCAATGCGAGCTTTTGTGTCCGACTCGGTTAGATATGTAACATTTTTGTTCCGGAAAATACAATCTTTGTACCAGTGTAGGGCCCCACACGGGTAACATGGTTTAGTGGCCAAATTATTTTGGTTTTTCTTTGTTTCATTAGTTTTAGGAGACTGTTTCTGTTTGTAGCGTACTTTTTTGACTGAGCAATACCCGATTCTTCGATACTTTTAGAATCCTGCTTTACACTGACATACCTCTGACATTCTTCAGCGATCTGAAGTTGAGTTATATTCGACTCATTCTTTAATTTGTTTAGTATTCTTCGCCTAATTTCTGCAACTTTTGTTGAAACTTGTCTTTGCACGAATATCAAACATTGGAAGTTATTCGCTCTGCCAGTTTAAAATGATCGCAGTGCTTGTTTAATACTGATGCAAAAGTGGTGTAGTCTTCCCATTCTTTCCTAGTTAGATTAAAAGATTTCCATCTCTTATGGAAAAGAGATGTCTTTGGACTGAAAAGCTCCATGAGTAATTCCATTGCTTCGGTGAATGTCAACTTGGTAGTCTTCAGGGGCAGAATGTAGTTTACGAATTTTGTGTGCTCAGTTGTGCCAAGTTTCCTCAGAAGACATACTTTTTTCGAGTCACTCCAATTTGCATAATCTGTGGTATATAAGTCCTCATATTTCCTAAAGTATGACGCAAAGGTTATGTCTTCCTCGGGAGTGTATGAAAAATTCTCTATCGCGCTCCAAATAATGGTGTTTTGCGAAAAAGAATATTCGTTTTCGTTGGGATTACTATGGCTTCTCAGTTCTAAAACTTACTTTTGAAATTCGAGCTGTCTCTTTTGATTTTTCTTCTGGTTTTGCAGAAATAAATTTTCCATTTTTTCCCTGTCGAGAGAGCAGTTGTTTTTGCCACTTCTCTTCCATTCTTTCTCGGAGCTGTAATTGCTATGCATTCTGGTACTTTACAAGATCTAATAAAATACTTTTGAAATCCTCCATGATAAGTGTGTCTTTTTCCGGTTTTACTTTTCTGGCTTTTTCCAGATGCTTTTCAAATGAAAAAAAAAACTGTGACGAAAAATAAAAAGAAAAATTTCTCGTACATCCACTATTAAAATAAATTGGCAATTACACTTAGTTCTTTTACAAAAACTCGTTTGCCCTTGTTTAGGAGAGTTCTTTTTTAATCCCAATGGTCCTCGCAATCCTTGTCGCCAAGTTATTGTGGCCTGTTAAGGACCGGAAAGAAGGTCGGTTAAACAAATGTATTGAAATAACAGAAATAAGAGTGTTATATATCAGCAGATGGAAGTGTCCGGCCGAACTATCAGGTTACACTGCGTCCCGATTGCCCTCCTTAGGCAGTTTTGCAGGTTAGTATTTATAAAGGAGAACAGTTCCTTCTAATATAGATAGGTTACCATAACAGAAATGTGTCAAATGTTTTCTAAAAGCGTTGCTAACAGGCTTCAACATTTTACTGAACATAATGGGGAGAATTTTCAACTTGTTAATTATTACAAATCATGCTATTTTATGTGACTATATTTATAAATTTTCTTAAACATTTGTAAATTTCTTTTTTTTTTAAATAAGATTTAATAAATAAAAAAGAGTGTTACTTTTGCTGCACTATATATATATATATATATATATATATATATATATATATATATATGAATGAGCAGATTCTAGCTATAATACAACCCACAGAGCCTGCAGATTGCGTTGAAACGTTAAACAGACTATCGTCTGTTGGTGTTGACATTAGAGTCAATACTTCTTATATACAGATTGTTTTTGCGCGCGTGTATTATATAAATATATATATATATATATGTGTGTGTGACCACGTATAGATAGATAGATAGACAGAGACAGAGAGATAGAACAATACAAAACTTTAAATTCAGGTGAAAGTTCTTAAGAATTTTATTATTGTAAGGTTCTGTCTTTTGAAGGTTTTAATTTTTAGTGGCTCTCTTTAAATTTCCACAAATTTATTGAAAAGTAAGGAATAACCATGTTTTGTGGAATAAAAATGTATCTGCACATGTTTAATAAAGTTTAAAATTTTGTCCCTGATAAAAACGTTTGTGTGTTTGAGATATATATATATATATATATATATATGTGTGTGTGTGTTTTCCTTCATGTGTGTACATAATTGTTTTAAGGAAAATCATTTTTTTGTAAAGAGGAAAGAATAAAATGTAACAATGAGATGACTTGTATCGATCCTCTGTTGTGAACGTCTTGAATTAATCGATTGGATGATTTGCTTTTTTTATGACTTATCAACCTCTCGCAGGTTATTTGAAGCCAGGAAATATTTTTTGAGTGTAATGATTTGGGGGAGATAATAAGGATTTACTGAAACAAATCCTACTAATTAACCCATAGCTGGGGAGAAGAGAGAGTACAAGGGAGAGAGATATGCATAGTGGTTATCAGAGTGGAAAGTATGATTGGAAAAGTATTAAACAATCCAACCTCCCCCTGTAAGACAATCTGGGTGGAGACTCTAACTTTCGTTGGTAACCTGTTTAAATGAAGGAAACATCTCAATTCAAAATTGATCGGTCGGGACGATGGTAAATACACCCGCAGAACCTACTTGCTACAGAAAACGCCACAGCCATACCTAGTGTAGTGAGGCTGTGGCTCTATACTCCACAGGACTAGGCTCTATAGGACCTACGTATACATGGGTGTACTTTAATGCAACTAAAGCGTCGCTATACTGGATATATTACTCTTTCTCCTGATTATTAAATAGCTGGATCATTTCCAGACCGACTCTGTACACACAGATATAGACAATACGTGCTGTGAAATTGTGCATCTCTCATTTCCAGTCCTTTCATTGAGAATACTCTTGTCTTATTCTTTCGAAGGGTTTCTAAGTCACTGCTCCATTCTTGGAAGTTATCCATTGATAAGATTATAGGTTTAAAAGCCGGACATTTTCCAGCCAGTATCAATGCAGGACTATCGGCTGCTGAAATCGATGGCAATTTATACATGATGCCAATGTCAGATGTGTTCAATCTATCTGCGCATCTGCTTTCTGTCTCCACAACCTACTACATTTTCCTCTTCCTTCCTTTCGGCCATATTTAATTCCGCTCGTCTTTCCCTCTTTCACTGTTCTTTATTCTTACCACGTCTCTTTTCTTTTTTGTCATCCTCTCTTTTCATACGCGCTTCTTTCTTTCTTTCTTTCTTTTTTTCTTTCTTTCTTTTCTTTCTTTCTTTCTTTCTTTCTGGCCTTTTAATATTCTTTCTTTTCTTCTGTCCTTCCATCCTGACTTCATTTTGTCCTTCCTTCCCGCCATTTTCATTCCTTCTTTCCTGACTTCCCTCATTCCTTCTTTGATTCCGTCCTTCATTCACGTGTTCTCGTTATATCAAGGAAGTTAAGCAACGTCAGACCCGGTCACTATTTAGATGGAATGCTGCTTGGAAACACCGTAAACAAAATCCTACAATCCGAAAATTTTTTCGACCCTAAATAATACACAAAGGATTGATAAGCCGCGAAAAAATATTTCCTTTTTTCTATTTTAACAATTGTCAGTCTCCACCTTCGTTCATTCTTTCCTTCTTTGCTTCCATCTTTCCTTTCATTATTCCTACAGTTGTCTCTTTCCCTCTTCCATCTATCTTGTCATCCCTTCTAGTATTCCTTCCTTCCTTCCTTCCTTCCTTCCCTCCTTCCTTCCTTCCTTCCTTACTTACTTCCTTCCTTCTTTATTTCTTTCCTTTCTTTCCTTTCCTTCCTTCCTTCCTTCCTTCCTTCCTTTTCTTTCCTTTCATTCCTTCCTTCCTTTTTCATTTCTTTTCCTTTTTCCTTCCTTCCTTTCCGTTCTTTCCTTCCTTCCTTCCTTCCTTCTTATTTCCTTCCTTCCTTCTTTATATCTTTCCTTCCTTCCTGCTTTCCTTCCTTCTTTATTTCTTTCCTTTCCTTCCTTCTTTCCGTCTTTCCTTCCTTCCTTCCTTCCTTCCTTCCTTCCTTCTTTATTTCTTTCCTTTCCTTCCTTCCTTCCTTCCAGGTTTCCTTCCTTCTTTATTTGTTTCCTTTCCTTTCTTTCTTCCTTCCTTCTTTCTTTCCTTCCTTCCTTACTTACTTATTTCTTTCCTTCCTTCCTTCCTTCCTTCCTTTGCTTTCCTTCCTTCTTTATTTCTTTCCTGCCTTTTAAGTCCTTCCTTCCTTCCTTCCTTCCTTCCTTCCTTTCCTTCTTTATTTCTTTCCTTTCCTGCCTTGTTAAGTCCTTCCTTCCTTCCTTCCTTCCTTCCTTCCTTCCTTCCTTCCTTCCTTCCTTCCTTCTTTATTTCTTTCCTTTCCTTCCTTCCTTCCTTCCTTCCTTCCTTCCAGGTTTCCTTCCTTCTTTATTTGTTCCTTTCCTTCCTTCTTTATTTGTTTCCTTTCCTTCCTTCCTTCCTTCCTTCCTTCTTTCATTCATTCATTCATTCTATTTTTTATCCACCATTTTCTTAATTTTATCTATTGCTTTAAACCGAATTATTCATACCCCTGCTGTTAATTAATTATTCCACGCTTATTCTTTTCCTTTTCTTTTCCTTCTTTCTTTCTTTCTTCCTTTCTTTCTTTCTTTTCGCCAGTTGTCTTTCTCCGCCTTCCTTCAATCTTTTCATCTTTTATTTATTCCTTCCTTTCTTCTTTCTATTCTATCTGTTCACGTGTTTTTTTTTTTTTTGTTTTTTTTATCTATATCGATATTGAAGCCGTTTTGTAATGTTGGATTTTATATCAGGTATTGTTTTTTCGGTATATATATATATATATATACTTGCGCACATGTGTACATACATACACAACCACTGAGACATATATATATGAGAAATTTTTTGTATACTTGTATATACATGTGCACATATACATGTCCAGCGATATATACCTGTGTATGTATATATACATGCATATGCATATCATAAAGCCTTTTTTATCGATACTTTTACATAGATAGACACACATATTTCTTTATACACATATATATATATTTTTTCTCTATGTTTTTTTCTTCTCTACCCCTTCAATATCAATATATAACTTCCGTTAAGTTAACCGTTTAAATGTGTCAATATCTGCTAACTCACTCATGTCTTCTCTCCCCCCCTCAATTCCTCACTTCGTTAATTTACATATGTTTAATACGGCCCGTCAAAAATGTGTAAATTTTTTTCTCATTTTTTGTTTGGAAGTAAAGTCTGATGATCCGCAGTCCTTTAAAAGGGCTGTGGTGAAATAATTTATTACATGGAACCTTAAAGTGGTCTGTTTTTATTTATATATATATATATATATATATATATATATATATATAATATATAAACACACTCTTATATATGTATATGTACCCCCTCATATATACCCTTACAAACAAAAAAGCTCTAATATATGGATATGCCTGAGTGAGGTGTGTATGTATGTGCACATGTGTGCAAGTAAATATATATATATATATATATATATATATATATATATATATATATAATCCCTGATTTTAAATCCAGCAATACCAAGCGGCTCTAATATAGATATCGATAAAATAAACAAACTGGCATACAGACACCCTCTCAAGTTTGGACATTGGGAAGTGAAAACCTCAAGTAATTTAATTTGATTTCTTGATTCCCACTTAATCCCCAGAGATCCCAAGGTCTTTTCCTTACGCGCTGTTTGGTTTTTCTTTCATTCTAAACCTGAGGAAGCCAAAGAGAGCTTGCACTATCCGACGAAACGTTTCATTTACCCTAGGATTGCCGAGGTGTCGTTTTCGACACCTTCAAATGTTCAACAATTTACTATGGAATAACCTGTTTTGGTTCGATGCAATTTATAGATTATTGAATTTTTAGCAAAGATGCTTAACAGACTTAATTCTTTAAAAATATTCAGTGAATAGCTGATATTTGAGGTTTATAATGGCCGAATGTCGTTTTTTTGATTTTATAAAGATAAATGCATTGAAAAATTTCTCACAAGAAATAATAATGTCCCTTTCTATCTATACACACACACACATAATATTATATATATATATATATATATATATATATATATATATAATCACTTTCTTTCAGTATGAGGTATACTAATATTTTGTGAATTTCTTTTCAGACTTGTTATTCCTGATTTGAATATTGAATATATTACAGATGGCTGCTTCACGGCGTAATGTAAGTAAAGATGTCAAAGGAGCTGGCCACCCTAGTGTTAATACATTTTACACTTTGTCTCAGTATATATACACTACAAGGCAAAAAAAATGGACGCACCCATAGAAATGATGATAAATAAAATATAAAGCTTATTACATTTATATTTACATTTATTAACATGCCTAAGCTTTGTTCCGACTTCGAGAAAGGCCAAGTCGTCGCTTGTCTTGATTTTGCCCTGTTGAATAGAGCGATAGCTGATAAGATTAATCGTAGTGAGTCATGCGTCCGCAAGTTAATCAAAAAGAGAAATAAAACTGGAACATATAATTGACGTAGCGGATCTGGCCGTCCGCTAAAAACTACTGAGAGGAAAGATAGAAACTTGGTTCGTCAATACAAAAAAAGATCGATTCGCATCAGCACAAGATGTTTCCAAAGTGGCTAGTGTGGCGGTTTCTTCAAAAACAGTCAGATGCAGACTTAACGCAAAAGGCATTGTTTCCAAAGACATAAAAAGAAACCTTCCGTATTTGGAAAAAAAAAAAATCGACGAGCACGTTTGGCTTAGTGCAAAGCTCATTTACAATGAACTAAATCTGCTTGGGAAGATATTATGTGGAGTGACAAGAACCTATTTTACTCTCAGATATGAAGGATAAATACGTGTTTGGTGTACGCCCAGTGAGACGAATACTCTAGTGACTACCAAGGGCACTGTTAAACACGATAAAAAATTCAACGTCTAGGTGCATTCTCAGCAGCAGGAGTTGGTAATTTGCACAAAATCAAGGAAATGGTGGACCAGCCCTAATACCACAACATTCAACGAATTCTATTACTCCCTTGTCTTGGTAAAAATACAAAAATCGACTTTGTATGGCCGCGTCCATTTTTTGCCTCGTGATGTGCCATGCGTGATAAACGCTTAGGTGATCATGTATCTTTCGATACATGACAGACGAGGCAGATTTTTTCTCCCGCAGTAGGATGGCATTATTTCTGCTCTAGACCAGTTGACATCCAGGGCTATAGAACTTGGTCTGTCCTGCTCTTTACCTATAGCTGGTAGGAGAAGAAGAGAATTCATACTTCTCCCAAGGGTATTAGCACGTAAGTAAATGTAATATATATATATATATATATATATATATATATATATATATATATATATCATTTCATCCCTCAGTCAGTTATGTGCCATACGTGATACACGCTTAGGGGATCATGTATATTTGATACATGACTGACGAAGCATATTTTTCCCGCAGTAGGTTGCCATTTGTTAGACCAATGCTGTCCAAGGCTATAGAACCTGGTCTGTCCTGCTATTTGCCTATAGCTGCGAGAAGAAGAAGAGAATTCATACCTTTCCCAAAGGGTGTTAGCACGTAAGCGAGTGAAATATATATACATATATATATATATATATATATATATATATATATATATATATATATACTCACATACACGTCATTTCACTCCTCAGTCAGTTATGTGCCATACGTGATACACGCTTAGGCGACCATGTATCTTCCATACATGACTGACGAGACATTTTTTCTCGCAGTAGTTTGCCATTTCTTTCTGTGACAGACCATTTTCCATCTAAGTCAATAGAACCCGGTCTGTTTTCTGCTATTTACCCATAGCTGGGGGAAGAAGACGAGGCTTCATATCTTTCTTTAGGGTATTAGCACGTAAGTGAATGTATTGGATTCGACTGGAGTTCGAACTCTTCTCTCCGATTCCTCAGTCCGAGCCGCTATCCATTACTCCACGTTTGAGTTGATTTGACGGCACATCAACCCATGTTTTGTAAAGTTAAAACTATACTAGAGCCTTTAGTTAAACAATACTTCAGTTTATACTAGATCTTATAGGTGAAAATCGGTTGTCTTTACACTTAAAACATAGGTCCTTTATATGAATGCCCGTTTAGTTTGGAATGGTATCTTACCTATCTGCACTTGCATAGTATGACGATTCTACAAGACGATTATATTTTTTGTCTGCTATCTATTTCTCTGTATTTATTTATTAGTTTAGAACGCCAACCACCACGGTCCTGCTTCAATGTCGGAAGCTAATTACGGGCGTATTCTGTTTCATAACATAGCTGGTCACTTTAGGTGGTTGCTGGGCGACCAACACGTCTTGCTCCATGGCTAGGTGTCCAGAGCAGTAGATCACTCGTGAATTCTTGTTTTGCTCGCCAGCAGTGTCCTGCAAATTGCACTCTGCTTTCGCGTAAGATTGTAGAAATATCAGGGATGGGTTCGTAGAGCTTTGATTTAGTTGGATGTTGTCTCCAAATGTTAAGTATAGCTCTCAGCATCCGAGCTTAGACTCTAGGATTTTAGTTAATGTCCAGGCAGTGGCACCATACATTAACATCGATTCAACAGTGGCTCACCAGAATCTCCGCTTGAGGTTATCTGGTAGATCAGATTTCACAGGTTACATCCATTTTATTCAATGTAGCCCAGGCTTTAACTATGCGAATTTTTACATCCTTTTCAGTAGAATTTATCTCGCTTCCTGAGTATATCAAGGATTCGATATATTTTATTGGTTTACATGAGACTCTTTGTATTGATCCTTACTGGTTGAAGCCTATGAATTCAGTTTTAGATGCATTGACATAGATTCTGTTGTGGATTCCGGGTTGAAATCCGGTACCAATAAATAACAAACGCCAGGAATGAATATATGAAAATAATGTATTAACGTAATAATACAAACTGGTAAAGCAGGTTAGTAGTTCCAGGAATACGGGTTAGTATTAGGTTGGTGCAAAAATAATGATGTAATAATGTCGTTTTTGACGTACTTTTAACGTCAAAAACGACATTATTACGTCATTATTTTTGCACCAACCTAATAGCTAAATATCAAAACGGTCTTTGGTATTGAAGTATCTCTGTATGACTTCTTACTGAGTCTACGTGCTCACTCACTGTGACTCCTACAACGCTGTTACCTCACCCTCACTCTTCCGGTTACCTACAACCTTTTACTCTGTCACTCTGGACTCGACTCGACTCTTCGGACTTGCTCTCTCGGGTCTTCATTGGCAGTAGTATAAGTATACAGTGGGTGAATCCATTTGTATAAAAAGTGGTGGACCCTTCAACGGATTCCAAGATCGTTGGCAGCATTTTCTAGATGATGTAGGATTACTATGACATTAGTTATGTTGCCTGCACTGATGGCTAGGTCATCTGCCTAGCCAATATATCTATCAACTTTTTTCAGGATAACTATTTGCTGTCTGAATATAATCATAGCTTCTTCCTGAACTGGTGCAAAGTA